CGTCTTTCCTTTATCTGCTTCTTATTATTTATTCATTTTTTTATATTCCTTATATTCCACAAAAATACGGGAGATAATATTCTCCCCAAGAAATCCTGCATTGCATTTAATGCTTCAGTTAGATTTCCGATTTTAATTTTCAAAAGGATAATGGGTTTTTTTTTATTATCAGATTTTAAAGTAGTGTGGGGAAGCTTTAAGTCACATTTGACTTGTTGGAAGAGCTACCCGCTCTCTTTTGTTTTCTTCCTTTTTTTTTTTTTTAAATCATCAGGGAACCAGGGATTCCCAAAGGTTTTGCACTTTGCACGCTCCTGGGTGGAGGAGAGTTGGAGGGATGGAAGGGTTGCACATTCCTGTCGGATGGCATCAGATTTTCCATCAATGGAGTGGGTGAGGAGAGGGGGGGTTTGGGAAAAAATCCCTCATTTTCCAAGTTGAAATAGATGCAGTAATACGCTGAGCACGTGCTTTTCGGGCCACCGCTCATTTCAAGTCCCGGGCGACGATAATCGTTTAAAACAATGACACAATCAAGACACTCCCATGAATCCCGCCTTTATCTGTCGGAAGAAAGCATTGCGCGATTCCAAAACTATTCGTCTTTTGATTGAACTAGTGCCTCACAGTGATCCGGCTGTTTCGCCGAGGTGAGATCTCTGTGTGTGAGACACATCAAAGGATGGCAGCTGATGGAGCGTGCGGACAGACGCTGCACCGGGGCAGCTATTTACCGGAGTCGGCTGTCAAAATGATTTCTGCGATTGCCCCCTGAGTTAAACCAAATGGTCGTAAAGAGCTTTGCAAACGTTTGACTGGAGTGAATCATTCTGGGCTAGTAGCAACAATGTATAGGACATGCGGCATAAATAAGTGAATGACTGGCTACGGTAAGGAACTGCTGCCAGACATTCCAATAGAGTGACACACACACACACACACACACAGTAGGCCTGCTACAGAGGAGAAGTGTTATTGTCCTCCTGTCTACGGCTCAGTTGGCTAAATGAGGGAAAGCAATGCTGCCTTCAGGTGCTATTGGCCATATTGCAGTTACGGGAAATACTGCGGTTTGGCTTGATGTGTTAAAAAAACTGTCATGACGAGAGCAGGCAAACGCATATGCAGCATTTACCTGCATTGCCATTTCAACTGAATTTTATCTCACCTCAAGGTGCTTTATAGTTTGAGATAAAGATCCTAAATTATTATAGAGAAAACCCCAGCAATCAGAAGAGCTCCTATGAGCATTCACTTGGCGACAGTGAGAAGGAAAAACTACCTTTTAACAGGAAGGAACTTCCAGCAGAACCTGGGAGGGGCGAGGTCATCTGCCACAACCTGGTCAGGGGTAATGGACAAACATGTTGTGGAACAGATCCAGAGATTAATAATAACTAAAGATTAACTGCTGAGAGGTCTATTAACACATATTGAGTGGGGGG